GAATTAAATTTTTTTTTATAAGATATATTTTTTTCTCTCTCTAGATTCGAACTACTCTGGAAAAGATCAGAAATCAAATGTTTAAAGATGAAGTAGGACCCACCAGTGCAAATCACAATCTAGATGCAAAGGTAATGAATTTATCAAAAATTTCTAAATGTATTCTTTCAGAAAATTAGCATAAGACTATACAGACTTTCTTTAGCTGACGTTCCTACTGATCATTTTCTTTGAACAATGAGTGATAAAACATTTCTTGCACCTCTAATGATGTTGACGTCCATATGTGTGGAATGTTTAATTACAGATGTTAATACTTAGGATCAGATTGGAATGACTAGACTTTGTGTGAATATTTGGAAGAGACTTACTTACCTATAGTATATGGGATAAAGTTGGTTCAGTCAGGATGCATGGAGCAACATTTTCCAATGACAGACAAAGGAATGATCTTTGGGACTTAACTGGGCTACAGTGGCAGCATGACTGAAGTTCTTTCTTACTCTTGCACTGAGTGAGGACTTTGTCAGTCAGTACACTTAGATACTCTGCCCCTACCTGAAGTAAAGATCACACTTACCTACCTTGGTCTGAACTATCTGCACTACCCCAGCCCTCATCTTATCTGAGTTGGGCTAGGTTATGCCCCATCTGAGTCAAGTATGGCTCCTCAGTGTTTCCCACTATGTGACTTATTTTCAGAGCACACCAAGGCATAGCTTATGACACAGAAACCCAATCCCTTTACCATCTCAGTCTTTTAACCTGACACAGCTGGCCTCAAGTATTTTCTTAAATCAAGTGTTCTGAAACTGAGGGGAAAAGTATGGGTTTGGGAATGATGGGGAAGATCAAATAGTAAGTTTTGAGTACCCTGAGTTGTATACCAGACCTCTAAAAAACAGGCTGCTGGACACATGGTCCTGGAATTGAGGTTAGTGGATGGAGCTAAAAGGTCCAGTTCCCAGGGTGGAGATCTGGGGGCAGTATGGTTGGTATTTAGTTTTGAAACTAAAGGATGTTCCAAGCAAGTGTAGCTAGGTAAGAGACGATCTAAGGATTGAATCTCAAGCTTCCCAACGCTTAGGTCTTGGGAACAAGAACCATCACAGAAGGCTGAAAAGAGCAGCTAGCAAATTAGGAGGGCAGCAGTCACTAAGAGCAAGTAAGCAAAGGGTTTCACAGTGAAAGAGGAGCCACTGTGTCAAAGGTCGCCCCTGCATCAAGTTCACTGGGGACTGACCACTGATCTCTGATCTCTGGAAAGCAGAGTTGTTGGCGGCCTTCATAGGAGTAGACTGTTAGAAATTATGGTGACATTGTGTTGTCATATCAGACACAGAAGATCATTGGACCAAATAAGTGCCAAAATATCAAACTTCTAGCCCTTGAGAACTTTGCTGTAATGGTCCCAGGCCTGGCTACCCTGTGGGCTGCTTTCATAGCAACAGCAGTCGTGTACCCAGGAGCTGGTTAGAGACCTCCCTTCCAAGGTTCCACCCCAGACCTCCTACTTCAGAATCTGCATCTTTAACCAGGTCCATCACCAATGATGCCTGCGCTCATTGAAATTTGAGAAGCATTGATAGTGTATTTTGTAGCTCTCTGCCAGTGCCAATAAAATTCTGTCAAGAATATTCTGTTGAATATTCTTTTACACACAAAAAGGAAGTAATTCCAACTCTGCATGTGGAAGATGCACTAGGCTCAGGGCTATAAATCTAAATTGTGTGAAGGTTGTGGGGGAGGGAGGGCCTTATCTACTAGCACTAAATTTCTTTTTTCATTATGTTGCAGTAAAAAGTATAAATGCTTCACTTTAAAATAAACTTGGATTTAATTCTGGTGTAGTATTTGTTTTAGATATAACTGGGTTTATTAAACTCTCATCTTCAATTTCTCACATCTAAGAGCAGTGTATCTTTTAGTATTTTGAATGCTCAGACAAAAGAGTGTATACAAAACTTCTCTGATAACATGACCTGGCCTATACTAGGTACTTAACATATAGAAGTAATTATTATAATCGTAGGGAATGTGTAACTGTATCATAATCTTTCCATCTGCCTCAGAATAAGTTTGAAAAACAGAAAAAGCACAGACTGTGCCCTGAACACTCACATTTAATTGCTACATAAACTCAGGTTCTGGTTAATTTCATTATCTGTAAAGTTGATGGGCTAAGTTAGATATTTTCTAATTTTCTTCCTACCTCCATATGTCCATGATTCCAGGTTAGATTTATGGTCCAAGTGGATTTTTAGTGAGCCAGAGTATATGCAGAAGTATAATAGCACTATAATTCTGTAATTCTGATATCTCTAATTGGAAATTTGATTTGAAGTGATTACAAAAACTAATAACTGAGCATTGAATACTATACATTATAGCTGTTAGAGTGGATTTGATTAGTTTGTGATGCAAGGTAACTAAAATGTACTTATGTCTATGATTTAGATAGGAAATCTGGCCTCATGAATATGCTTGATCTTAAGATAGACTGAATAGTATATTTGAAGCTCTATGGGATATAAAAGGTATAAAGTATGAAGTGCTTTTTGAATATACGAATTTGTTCATATTTGAACAGATATAGAAGCCAGATGCTTCATGTGAAATTTCTCATTGATGTTTTTGAGATTCAAGAGAGATTTGTGTTGGCTTGACTCTTCTTTGATATATGTAATATTAAGTGATAATTACCATCAAAGTTTGTGTGGGAGAGGATTATTCAGCTCTTTTTTCCCCATTTGTCCATTTCAGCCCTGTGGAAATGTTCACAATGCCTCGGATCCTGAAATGGACTCCTGCTCCTGCAGTTTGGATTTGCTCATGGAAAAAATGAAAAGAAAAGACCTACAACTCTTAGAAATGAACAAAGAGAATGAAATGTTGAAAATCAAGGTACGACTGGTGGGAGAAGTTTCCCAACTTATATTTGGAGTGTTTGAGCTAACAAGTGGGTTGTTGGTGTTCATGGATCTTGCATTCAACGAGACAGCCACATGCATCCGTGCACCTAAATGGTGTCACGGGCCTTATAGGTCACGGTTAGGTCTCAGTGGTTGACTATGGAGAGTATTATTATTATTATTATTAAGGAAATCTTACAAAATTTAATAGGTATAAAGTTTCTATTATGCAGAATGAGTAAATTCTAGACCTCTGCTGTGTGATGCTATATCTGTACTTAACAGTCTTATACTGTGGACTTAACATTTTGGTGGAACCGGGGATTGAACTCAGACCTTTGCACTTGCCAGGGAAGTGCTTATTCTATTGAGCCATCTCCCCGGCCCATGATGTGTTACATTTACAGACTTGTGCTTTTTTTTTTTTTTTTTCTGGCAGACTGGGGATTGAACTCAGGCCTTGTGCTTGTCAGGCAAGCATTTATTCTACTGAGCCATCTCCCTGGCCCCAACAAATTTGTTAAGAGGGAAGGTCTCATGTTAACATTTTTTTTTACCACAGAACATTTTAAAAATAAGTTTTCATATTGAATATATATTAACATAGCCTTCCAAGTAAAATCTCTCATTATTTAATTAATATATTGTTGAATGCTCTGTTATTTTCCTTTGGGGGCTTATTTTATATGCAGTAATAACTATCTTGACAAGTGATTCTTTGTGGCTGTCCTGGATAGTTTCCTTAGGTTAACTTCTTGGAAGTTTCAGGAAAATTGAAAATTTGCTTGGAAAATTCGTTTGAAATTTTCTTTTTGTCCTTAATCCTCTAAACTTGTTCTGCTTCTATTTGTGGCAGATTTGCCTGCTAGTACTTTGTGGACCTCAGTGATCAAAGTCTTTAAGTACATGCACTGATGGGGAGCCAAGGGGCTCCCCAAAGGGTGAGGCCTATATACCCAGACATCCAAGCACACGGAGCCCTAATTTGGCAAATCTGTCAGTGTGCACTGCCCCACAACTAGAAGGTTTCTTATTTTGCATTTCCCTTTCATTAAATAACCGTGTCTCTCCAGCCATTCATTGTCTTGAGGATGCAGCTCACACTGCTGTAGACTCTGTTTTTAGTTGTCCGTCACACTGCTGTGCCTTTAATCATTTTGACTGGAAATACCAAAACATGCAAAGTGACTCTTTTCCCTAGCTGGAAGCCTCCAGAGAAGCAGGAGCTGCAGCTCTGAGGAACATGGCCCAGAGATTATTTGAAAACTACCAAACCCAGTCCGAAGACATGAGGAGGAAGCACAAGGACAGTGCTCACTTACTTCAGGTACCAGCTTGCAGCTCGTCCATGGTGTGTGCGCCCCACTCTGGCCAGGCTCTCCTGTGATGCAATGCAAATGTGACATAGCCAGAGCCAAATGAACTGACGGGCTCAGGGAGTAAGCTATGAACACAGTAGGGCTGCTTATTCCACTTTTATATCACTTTCTGATTTAAAAGAAAGCACTTTTAAACTAAACATATAGGATTTAATTTTTATTATAGGTTATTGTTTGTTATGCAAGAGTAGAATATTGTCCTCATCAATTAATATCTGCCTTTTTCATACCATTTCAGGAAATATACTTTATTATACGGAAATATTTTAGGAATAATATTTATATGTTATTTTCCATTATGACTCACCAGGTTTAATTTGCAGTCAATAATGAAATCAAAAGAGTCTTCTAGGAGCTGGCAAGATAGCTCAGCAGACTAAAGTGCACTCTTAGGCCAGCTTAGGCAAGCTCAGGGACCGCAGTTCGATCCACATGCAGTGCCAGTCCCACCCCCCAGGGAGGGATGAGCCAGCCACAGAGTCAGAGCGTAGTGGTGCACGACTGTTCCCAGAGCTGGGAAGGCTGAAAGCAGGAGGATCACCAGGAGTCCGAGCTGTGTGGTGAGACCCTGCAACAACCAAATACATAAAAAAGAAAGACTAAACAAGTCTCAATTATTTACTTTGGTTGTTAGTTGGTTAGAAAATTTGAATCCAATGGAGAGAACATGTACATAGTTTAATGAAAGTAAAAATCTAGCAATTTCTTTTTCTCATCAAGGTTAACAAGCTTGAAAAAGAACAGAAATTGAAACAGCACGTTGAAGATCTGAACCAAGTTGCTGAGAAACTTGAAGAAAAACACAGTCAAATCACAAAGCTGGAGAACCTTGTACAGAGAATGGAAAAGGTATGGACCTGGAGAATTAGAGGGATTTCTTGCTGATAGCATAAAATCCAGAACGAAAGAAAATAACCCTGAACTGAATACTGATATTAAATTAAATAAGATCATACAAAGTGACTGTATTCCTTATGATTCCTGATCTTTGGAAGTGCTTAATAATGTCAGATGTTTTGCCTTAAGCATTTGACATGGTCTGTACTGTAGCTACTGATTTTACTTCTGCAGACACTTTACTTACCTCATTGTCTGTCACTTTTTAATAAATTGTATCTTAGAAAGGGGAGCCAGATAAGTCTGTGGATGGAGATAATGGAAGACATCACAAAGCCCACTGGTTCAGAATGAATAGCACAGTAGACCCCCTATAATTACAATATTTTAATGTATTGGAATCTGTGCAATTGCCCATTTTGTAAACATGGTACCATGTTGGACTTTGGAAAGCAGGCGACTATCGTAGCAGAGATCGTTCACATTAAGAGCTGGAGTGATGGTATGGATTGGTAACCCCAGGGCTCTGGGAGCTGAGGCAGGATTATAAGTTTAGGCTGGGCTTGAACAGGTAAGGGACTTAGTGAAACACTGACTCAAAGTGAAATATAAAATCAGGGCTGGAGATATAACTCAGAGCAAAATGTGTTCAAAGTCCCATATGAAAACAAAAAAATGAAGACAATAAACAGCTCTTCTACAGATACTGAAATTTTCCATATTCTATTTGTGGAAGAATAATAATGGAAGAAAAGTTGTAAAAGTTTAATGTAGTACTCCTTTAAACTCCGGGCCTTCCAAGTATGTACAAAAGGCAAACACAACTTTACTTATATGTGCTTTAGAATGTAGAGTTCACAGAGCTCCGGTGCTCCTCAGGGGACTGTCCTGCCTCCACACGTAGTAGGTGAAGCAGGCCTGCACCTACATGGTTTGCATGGTCAGGACTCAAACATGGGGCTCCCTGAAATGTATGTGATTGCTTAGTTTCTTGTGTTTGTTTTAAAGGATACAGGAACATTTTTCAGGCCAGGGCTTAATGACTAGTTTTTATCAGATATCCAGCTAATACGTAGGTCTCATTGAGAGAGAGAGACAGAGAGAGACAGAGA